TCTGATGGCCTGTTTGACCCTCCGCGCTGATTGGTGCTACAAAGTGACAAACTGAATTGAGCTGGCACTCAAGAAGAAATGAACGTTGTATGATTGGTCCTCAATTTCCGAAAAAGGATTTCAAGATTCAACTTCCTCTCTCTCTCTCTCTCTCTCTCTCTCTCTCTCTCTCTCTCTCTCTCTCTCGCGCGCGCACACACACACCCACAGCTGTGTCTACTGCGCTCATTTGCTGTTTGCTTCGGACTCCCTCTCCCCTGTCATCTCAGATGCATCCGAATTTGGCTTACTCTCACCTAACGAAAACCTTGCAGCTCTTGTACAACTACACTTGTGGTTTTCGCGTGTTCCTCGAACATGCGTCTCATGTACGACATGTCGGCATGAAAAGAAAATTCAGTGCAATTATCCACACTCTCTCTGTCTCTCTCTGTCTCTGTCTCCGTCTCTGTCTCTGTCTCTGTCTCTGTCTCTGTCTCTCTCTGTCTCTGTCTCTCTCTGTCTCTCTCTCGGAAAAAAATACTTTTTGAACTGTGTCCCAAAAAACACAGGGGAAGCTTCGAACTGAAGGGTCTATACAAGTTCGACACTTGGGATACGTCCGTAACACCAAATGTTGTGGATGATTATATGGTGCTTGTCTTTTCCATCTCTCAGCCCTCTGACGTGCTATTTTGTCATTTCTTGTGGACTTCATCTCTCTGTCTATCTCCTGTGGATACATCCGGCGTTCAGTTATCTTGGAAATTCACATTGCCAACCTGCTCTACGACGACGATCATCTAAAATGCTTTTAAAAGCGAGGCTGATGATCTACGCGTGTGCTCGACCCTGCGCCTCATGTGCGGCGTTTCGAGAAAATTAAGTAAAGTCTCTTCGAGACTCTCTGTCTCTCGCTCTTTCTGTCTCTCTCTCTTTCTATATCTCTCGCTCTTCAAATGTACACGACCATTTCTTGTAGACTTCCTCTCTCTGTCTATCTCTTGTGATCTCGGATACATCCGAACTTCGCTTGTCTTGGAAATTCTCATTACCTTGCTGCTCTCCTACAACGATCATCTAAAATGCTTTAAAAAGCGAGGCTGATGGTCTACGCGTGTGCTCGACCCTGCGCCTCCTGTGCGGCGTCTCGATAAAATTAAGTACAGTCTCTCTGCGAGTCTGTCTCTCGCTCTTTCTGTCTCTCTCTCTCTCTCGCTCTTCCTGTCTCTCTCTCTCTCGCTCTTTCTGTCTCTCTCTCTCTTTCTATCCCTCTCGCCCTTCAAATGTGCACGGTCATCGGTGTAGAACTCCAATTCATTCTGGTCCTCACACTTCTAAGTTTGTGAAGAGCCACAACTCGTTGTACTCCTCACAAACTCGAGTTCATGTCATTATACTGTTCTGATTCGGATGAGTATGATGCTCAACTCCAAGTGAAGTTAAAACATAGTGTAATATGTAACTCTGTTGTGGTGTTCCACATCTGGACACATCCGAACCAGGAGAGGAGCGTAGCATGTATATGAACTGAGGCAGCAGATACATGTACTGACTCAGAGGCATATAACACAGTGTAATATACTCTGCTGTGGTATTCCACATGTGGACACATCCGAACCACGAGAGGAGCACAACAGATATATGTACTGACTGTGCTCCTCATCTCAAAGCTGATTTTACTCCAGGTTTGGATGTATCTGGATCTGCAATACCACCAGACTATACATTGTGTCATAAATTCGTTTCAAAATAGTACACACAAGAATGTACTGTCTTAAAGAATAACATGAAATTGTTTTATGGACGTCACCGTCACAAGTTCAGATGATCCCATGAGCGATTTCCTAAGTAGTAAATCCGGATATCCGGACACCCTTGAGCTATCCGGATTTGCAAATCGGGTAATACTACCCGGATGAAATCGGATTAAGCATATCTAGAGGCTCAAAAATATATTATTTTTCCAAAAAAACAAAACATCTCAAAAAAATCTTACAAAAACGAATGTTGTAAATTATGACAATACCAACAACTTTTGGCTGGAGATCATTTCAAAATTCTTATCCGATCAAAAATAAAAAATCCAAAGATTAAAAAATATAATTTAATTTTTTATTTTTTATTATCCGAAATTTATCAGGAAATTTGGGATAAACCTTTTTACCCTCGGATGTTCCGGCCGGACCGTCTGGACAGTTAATCCAGCTAGACATGCCATGCTACCTAGGGCGATTTCTTAATAACTGATGATGTTAAAAATGATTATTACCATGTTACGACGGCGGAGGACTCTTCTAGATACCTCATCTTTGAATGGAGTGAAGTTTGTTATTGACAATGTTTTGAAACTCTCTGTTTTGGTATATTATCAGCCTGTTGGATTTTCACAACAATCACATTGGAACTACATGACACCCAAGGCCGCGGATTCTGCGGCGTAGGCGGCGGCCGAGGAGGCCAACCGCAGGCCCGTGGCCGAGTTTTCGTGCGGTCGTTCCAGGCCCAGGCAGGGCACGTACGAGAGAACGGCGCGCGTGCGGTCGTCGCACGTCGACCTCTATGGCCCTGTTCATTTAAAAAAAAAAATAATAATAATTTGGAGGGATGTTCTGTGGTATGTAACAAAAATAAATAAATAAATAGAAGAAAAATAAATATTGATTGATTGATAGTATTTTTGATTAACTGATCGATTGATTGATTGATTGATTGGTCGATTGATCGATTGATTGATTGATTGATTGACTTATTGATTGATTGATTGATTGATTGATTGATTGATTGATTGATTGACTGATTGATTGATTGATTGATTGATTGATTGATTGATTGATTGATTGATTGGTGGGGGAGGGGTCCTCCCTCCCCTCCCCCTGGAACACGCCAAAAAA